CCTGAAATCCATCAACATGTGTATCAAGAAGCTAGTAGTAACAAGTGCATCGCTAGTAGTAACAAGAAGCTTCTCACTTCTTTGCGCCTGGTGCTTGGCTAAAACGTAGAGTACTCGATGCTTCACCAGGACCTGCAAAGCGCGCTGCTGACTTGGACAAAAAAGGGATCAAATATAAACACTGTGTAGCGGCACCCGAAGGCAATTGGTACCCTGCTTCGCAAAAGGCAGGTGAGTCCGCGTTTTTATCATAAATCATCCTGATAGTGTCTCGAGCTTGTAATCAGCAACGTGTTCTCAACATCTGACGCTAGTTCCAGTAGCACAAGAACAAACAACTGCCGAGCTCTAATAGCATCACTGGGCACTAGCTGCAAGTAGCTTGGTCTTTTGTTTGAAGGCGAACTCAATGAATAGGAACTTCCATGGAATTCCTCTGGTTCCAATATTTGAACTAGGCAACACACATGAAACAGTCCGAGATTGGTCGATCTGCCTGCGGTAGCTGATCTCCGAAGATGTTGTCAAGCAACGTGAGCTTGAGCACCAGTGCCCTCAAGCGTCGCACCAATTCAAACACCACAGTAATATCCTGCAACAAGGAAAAACAGCTCTGGTTCTGTAAACTTTCCCCGACATTTCTTCTTAAAATCCCATCAGCCAGTTAATCTAGGAACCAAATGAATAGTGCGAGCGCCTCTTCAAGGACATTACCCCCCGCCCTCAGCCTGGGGGAGCTTCGTTGAAGAAGCGTGAGCTATCCTGCGTCCCTATGTAGGAGCTAACTTAGCCCTTACTTAACTGTATATACGTAGGCGACTACCTAATTATGTAAGTAGTAGGGGGGGCAGAGCGACCCTTAAAAAAGCAACTTCCTTTTGCCTGCACAACTCCCTGGGCTCTCCGGGCTCCACAAGAGTCGCCGCCCGCAAGGTGGTAGGCTGCTGGAAAGGCAGCTCATCCTGGTCAGGAGCTCTTTCTTCATTTCTAATTTCTATGGTAAGTGTCGGTGGATCATGTTGGATCTTTTGATGCGTTTCTTTAGGTTTCTTTTGTACCCCCCTGACATTTGGAGATGCAGGCTTCATATATGGGAGTTTGGAGATGTTTGGAGGAGGATGCCTCCAATTATTTATGTTCCCCCTCTGTGTCTTTGGGATATGTGCGGATGATTGTATTGGAGGCATGCATTTGCATTTGAGAACATTGAAAGGATTTTTGGTGGAGGACTCATGCTGCAGGTTGAAGTTACGAAGACGAAGAACATGACTTTGAAGACGGCCAGGTGAAATGTTATCCAAGGCAGCTCTCCCTTACCGCAGTCATATGTCTACTGGGTACCTTTGCCATGCAACTTGTGCTGGGTACTTTGTGACTCGACATCCTGCGAAAACACGACTCTCTCAGCGCTCTTCAATTTCTTCCACAGGTGGAGGTAATACCAACGAAAATGGGACTTTCCACTTTTGAGACAACGCAGTTTCTTTCTTGAGATCCACACTGCAATGTGCTTTTGAATACAGCACTATTCATTGTTCGGGATTTAGAACCAACCCAACATCACAGGCACAGATTCATGGCCCTCTTGGCATCTCTTCGCTTTGCAAGTTGCCAAGCGGTGATATTGGAGGCCCCTCGCACCTTGAAGTCCAGTGCCCGATCGCCCATCAAGTGGAACCTGGAACCCATCTGGTCGCTCTCAACCCGTTCTTCGGAAAATGCTGGACCAATCATCGCCATCCAAACTGTGGGTTTAGCGCTGGTCTGAAAGCCTGATCCGCTCGAGTCAGCTTTCCCTGACGATCTCACCACTTACAGCTTTCCTCCACTTGCAGTCACTGGAATCTGTTTCGATCTGTTTCGCTTGGTTTGCGACCTGAGAAAACTCTACAAGACAAGAGCTAAGTGGGAATTGCTGATTGCGTGAATTTTAGTTACCCTGTTAGTCATTAGTCAAATGCCTAGCCTGCCGATGTCGTCCATCTTCTGGTCACGAGACCTGGTGCGGAGACTGGCCGGGCCAGGTGATCTATGTCGGTCCCTATTTGATCTTATTTGCATGTACAAACTGAATTGACATGACTGCATCACAGCTTTGAAGCCCCTGATTTTGAGACATCACCTTCTTGGGTCTCCAACTTTCAAGGAAGAGCACACACACTCAAACTGGCTGACTGGCTGACCTCTAAATTTTCTGTGGATCAGCACTAAAGGTTTGTGTGCGTTGACTGAGCATGAGCGTTAGGAAGTTCATACCAATGTGTGAAGCAAACGATCCTGTTCCTCTGAGCTCTCCCACCACGAGTGCACCTCCCCGCTATAGAGGATGAACACCTGAGCTCCATCCGCAGCGCACACAGTGCGATTTGAAGAGCTGGTGCAGCATGGAGTTGCCAACATCACATCCGATCCGAGTAGTGGATGTTGGATGTTGGAGGCCATCGTTAGTAGGTTGGAGGCCATCTAAGGGTATCTAAAGTATCTGTCTGTTTTATCAGATCGAGATCGCAGTTCCCAGCCTCCTTGGTCAAGTCCCCTTCTTTCAAGATCACCTCTCCAGGCTCAAACGTCTTCATCTCGACCTCCATGGTGCGGGGCTTGCCCAGTGAGTGACATAACTGGAGTGATGGAGTGTGAGAAACAAACCTGGGTTGGATTCCATTGAATACAAGGTTGGGATCATCTTCTACCACTTCTGAATGAAGTAGGCTTCAAAATGCAGCCAACTTCAAGCGCGCAAACACATCAAAAAGCTCTTGCAGCAGGAGTGCGATGGAATGATCGGACATGCATGTGAAGCGTCTTTTACCGCCAATTATGGTGCCCTCATGGCCCGGAGGCATCCACCAAATGAACATTCTGAAAGCAAATTGGCCAGAAAGGTCAACCGCATCTGTCACGTCCTGTCACTGTTACATGCAGCAAAGACGTGAAACTCTGCCTGATCATAGAGACTCTGAAGCTGGTAGCCATTCAATCCGGACCTTGTGTCCCACTGCATGTTTCACATTCATCATTTCTTCAAAAGACTAGAAAAGACTCATGTGGGCAATGAGTTGATGTTGTTGACGCTAGAAACCAAAGATGGGATTGGCACGATTTTGAAGGGAAAACTCTTGTCCTGACTTTTCCTCCAAAGAACAGCAGCACCCATTGACATTGACATGCTGGTCACATACTTGGCTGCCGACAGGACTTCGCACACATTGGACCTCAAGACCTGAGTGTCAGACATGTTCAGCCAAAACTCTCTGAACTGAGACAACTCAGCAATTGCTGGCCGAGCAAATACACGCAAAGAACATACTTCAAATATAAAGTCTCACTATTCGATTGGAGGCCATCGCTATATCTTCTTTACCATGTGGCCAGAAATGGTCCCCAACGCTTCTCAACCCCATCAGGTCGCCCCACCTCGTCCATGGCGTCCACCACCGACATGCGTTTCTCTTGGTATTGAGCACTAAGAAGCTCTCTGACCTTGACAATCCCAAGCTCTCATGCTTCAGTCATTTCTTCTGGAACACAGAAACAGAACGTCTCAAGTTTCAAGATTATTTTTTTGGTTAAGGGCATCACCCAAGGTTCAAACTGCGAACCAGCTGGCTTCCAGCTACATTTACCTCGCGATATTTTTGGATAGTACTAAGACCAGTTCTTGCATGCCCTCCATTCCATACGCGCGAGCACCTTAGCAAGTGCAAAAGGTGACTTGGCAGCTGTGGCTTCTTGTGGCACTCAAGAGTTGAAAACTACAGTCTACTCACTTCCCCTACCAGCCTTCCTTCAGACCAGCAGACAGTAGCAAACCATGGCAAACCCATCTATGTAGCGCACCTCAATGCCTGAGTGATTCATTCACTTCTTTGCCTGTCTCTGAATGAGCGGACCTCCCAACCCGTGGGTTTCGGCCGGGTCCGTTTCCCATTACTTGATGTCTTTGGGGGAAATCCCTTTTGAGACTTTTTGAGGCAAACCGCAAGAATCTTCACAATATCCTCGGAGGCCTAAGGTGCAAACATCCTTGAGCGCACACCTCAGTGCAGGGTTGCTGCGCGAGGAATTTCAAGACCTACAAATTCTGAGAGAGCATCAAACGAGAGTAGTGACTGGCTCCTCAAATTACCATAAAGGACTCAAATTGTCGGGATCCTCGCGCTTAGCTGACTGTTTGGGACGTGATCTCCCTTTCAGCCCATCTTGTGTTGTGCATAGGTCTTTTGACAAGGAGCCGTGGCACTGCGCTCCCCGAAGAGAAGGAGCACACTCTCCCCAAAAGAAGTCCCTGGCCTGTGCCCCGCTCGCTGCACGAATGGATCAATCAAACTCCATTCGTGGTGATTGCAATTTGAATGAAGAACTGCTCCCTACTGCTACTTGCCATGTTCTTTATTAAGGCAGTACAGTATTCCAACAAACAGCCGCTGCATGCCACTACTGAGCTCCTCAAGAACGGCATTCCTGCCTCATACATGGTTTGTAAAGCTTGCGACATTGCAGGCTGAGTCTCACGCCCAATGTAACAATGGGCCACTCCATCCTTCAGGACGCAAAACTCACCCTGCGCAACCACAAAGAAGTGGGTACCTGCAGGCTACTAGGAGCAAGGACGCTACTAGGGGCTCCTAGCATCGCTACTAGGAACAAGAAACTACTAGGGGCTCCTGGCCTTACTACTAGTAGCAAGAAGCTACTAGGAGCAAAGGCCCTGCTACTCTCACCTTCACACCACATTGTCCCCTTCAGTGGAGGGGCACCGTCAGTGTCACCTTGACGCACCACCTTCTCGCCATGTTGAAATTCATAAACCTCCATGGCCTGGACGGAGCAAGGGCTTCAACCTCTCATCAATCTTAAGCAAAATGCAGCAATCAAAGCAATCGAACACTGAGGAGATTGATTTTCATGTTGAAGATGCACATATATATATATAGAGATCTTATATAAAAGCACTTGCCCGGCTGCTCGAATCAATGGCTACCAGACGCAATATTCATTTTCTCTGGTCCATGCAAGATCCAGTCGCCAGAATGGGCATGTCTGAAGCTCAAAAGGGAGATCTCAGCTAAACCTCCTCCACTTGAGTTTCAAGTGCCTCCAGTTCAGGATCAAGCAACTTTGGTGGAATGATCTCAAGCAGCTCTTCAACTGCATGAGCAGCAACTGTCTGCTGCGCTTCTAAGAAACACCGCCGGGAATCCGCCCTTCTCTCATAGAACTGTTTCTTCCTTCGGGGATCGCTGAGGTCTTCCACGCTGGGAACCTTCGGACATCTTCTCCAAGTTCTTACATGTCTCGAGAAGCTCAAAGGTGCTCCCTCCGACTCCAAAGCTGGGACGCTCACGGAGACCTTGACCTTGGCAAAGTTGCGCACACCTGGTGGCGGAGTCACAGTGCGGCAGGTGTAGACCAAATCCGCTCGGCTAAGAGTTCGGTTGCTCTTCCTTAGCACGTGCTCCAGCAGCTGAAAAAGCCTAACCTTCCCAGGAATCTCCTTGTTCCTTGCGACTTGTATGGCAGCCAGCGGTGTTGAAGCATTTGCGCCAGTTTTTCGCCGCCGCCAAGGCAGCTCATCTGCACTGAGCTCGATTTTCCCTGCCATTGGCCCAACAATTCTCAGAGCGGCCTCTGCGGCACTCTCCTTGGCTAAAGAAGACGTGAGACCTGTGCCCTCAAAGTAGTAGGTCCTGGACGGCCAAACCCGAAGGTCAGATTCCGGTGGATGGCTTGGGTGTTTTATCCTAGTTTTGCTCCGACATGGAGCTACAGTTTGGGCCGATACCAAAAGAACTCAAATCATCACTAGCATGAGTATTTGACTACACAGAACCATTGGAACCAATCCACTAGTCCCATGCTAATCCAACTTGCCCTGTCGGGTCCTTTCGCCCTGGTGAGCTCCTGGCCATGGCAGTCTTAGAGCCACGTGATAGGTGTTGGGATCCTCTAGCATGAAGTATGCGAAATCCTTTTGTTTGATGACTCGACCAAGGACGACGGCCAATGCACGGCTCAACTTCGACCTTGCATTCCCATCCGTGTCCCGCATGTCGGCAATCTCTGCGGCAGCTGCATCTAAAGCCTGCTGGGAGGTCGTTGCACGCCAGGAGGGCCAACGAGCAATCTCAGAGTCTGCCTTGCGGATGATGAGCAGGGCTTTCCGATAGGCATCATTTTCGGCATCCTCATAGGTTGCTCCTTTCCCTGAAACATAATGGAACAGCCTGGCGGGGATGTAATTGGACCCATCTGGATTCTTCTTGGGGAGCGCAGGAAATCGCACGAGTCCATGGTAGAAGTCTTGTCTCTCTGAAGTCCGATAAAAGAAAGGGGTCTCACTCTTGTAGACATCACGGCCCAAAACGCGTTGCAAAGCACCGTGGATGTGTGATTTGGGTATCACGTCAAAGTTGATATCTTTTGCAACTGTCTGCTCCACGATAGCAGTGCGTTGAGAAAATGATCTCCGCTGCAAGGAAGCTTGGCCAGCAAAGTCCAGCACACTTGGGGCTGCCAAGGAAAGCAAAACTGCGGCACAAAGCCGCACTTTACGCGCCATTGTCCAACCACTTTCTGTCAGGTACAAACAAGACATGATATTCATTTATCATATTTATTGCACCCCGCTAGGCCAAACACCTAATACCATATGTAATCGTGTGAACGTTCGATAAAGCTGCTGAGTTGCTAGGCCTGCCATTATTCCCCCATGACACCTAACCTGAAATTCGATATGTCATGATATGTCGATGCTCCACTAAGGCGAAGAACCGTGGACACACATCTGCGAACGAGAGCAAATGTGTGTCAAAACGACAAGCAAAGACTCAATCAGTACGACAACACACCCCAGCCCAGGTACACATCACCAAAGATTCGACTTGTGTGGACTCTCAAATACTCAGGTAGATAGTATCTACCTGAGTATAGAACCCCTTAGAGGTGTGCTTGCGCAGAAGAAGCGAGGATCATGCGCATCGTAGAGATTCCTACCATCTCCTGCCCCCTGGATGAAAATTTAATATTTGGGTGTTCACTGTCAGCTACCAGGCCACCTCTCTTCCAGTCAGTTCACTCACATCTTTCCAGCCTCGATAAGCCCGTGTAGGGCCGAGTCATCAAAGGTCTCGAAGAAAACAAGGTTGCCTTACAAGTTTGACTCAACAAAAGGGCTAAAACTCACCCCAGAGAAATCACCCCCTTCCACACCTACGACCACCACGGAAGCAACTTTCAACAGCTGAAATCACTATGCCCCACTCAGACACCCGTCGCTGTTATCGATCTTCAGCCCCACCATCGTCGCTGATTGACGTTGGAGGTGTAATATATTAAAAAGAAATATATATATATATATGGGCGGGCGTTGATTAGGGGCTCCTGGGGGAGTGTTCCAAGACCTATTGAACTTAAAGTTGCTAGTGCTAATGTTAGCGCCCCCATATATATAGATATATATTTGTATATAAATAAATAGTGCAAGTGTAGTGACTCAGGAAGAAGTTAAAGAAGGAAGTGAGGGAAACCATAGTTGCCATTCATCAATTGAAATTGAACAGGAAGCATGTTACGGTACCTTATTGACTTGAATGATATAACATAGTTACAAAATGCATACAGGTATATCAAAGAACTTCTTTTACAACACAATGTTTTCAATGTATAAAGCCTACTGAAGCATGCTTGTGGTACAGTACATAGCGTCATTGAGTCATCAAGGCTGAACATGAAAAGAACCCAAGGACATAATTGGACTTTATTGATAAGATTGGAGGCTGGAGAATGAGCACGTATGCGGGTACTAAATTACCTAGTAGACTTTACCAAGTTGTAGAAAAACAAATTGTAGAAATACCAACCGCTACATTGCTAAAACCTCCAAAAAAGAAGAAACTCAAATCGATAAGTATAATACTGATGAATTTGTTAGTAACATGGAGAAACTGAAGCAAGTAAGGATCAGGAGACTATTTGTAGGAGTAGGCTAAAGTCATATCTGCCAGAAAATTGTTGTTACCGGCTACACAGTATTATTTGTACGCCCAACAAAAAGGTGGTTACACGAATTTGAAGGTGATGCCATAACAACAGACAAGACTTTTGGCATCACTGTTGGTGTTGAAATAGAGCCATTTGTTTATTCTATTGAATTTGACCTGATAATGTTTGATCCAATCTGTTTCATCGGCTTGGATATTTGTTGGAAAACCAAATGGTTTGTTGAGCAATACTTTGTTGCAACAGGTGATGCCAAACAACTAAAGCCAGTTCAGGAGCTGACTGAAAATAATGAAACCATATGCTGATGCAGTGATTGACTATATGTTTGAGCAACATATATTGGTGAAACATATAAGACATTGAACACAGAAGAGGATGAGCTGAATACGACCTGTAAACATGTATCAAGTCAGATTAAGAAATGGGACAGCAGAAAAACATGAATATGAAGTAGGTGAATTCTTGATATGCAGGGAGTACCCCGAATCACAAACATGTATTTTCATTGTAAATTCCAAAGACATTTTTCATGTTGGTAAAGACATCACTACCTTGAACTGAAGAATGTGAAAACAAATATGCTTCAATAACTAGAGGTTGACAGCGAAAAGCAGACTTCATTCCTTGGTGTTCAACTTGCCATTATGCTTAAGGTAGTCGCATTGGTGGACATATTACAATATTTGATCCTAGCAGCCTAGCATTTTCTTGTAAAATATCATTTTGGATGGAATTGGACAGCCTTTTTGTATAAGATAAGATTCGATAGGTACAATAATTGTACCAGTTATGATATTAATACAACGTACGTTATAAGCTACTTTGATGGAAAAGGCTACAAAATGCATGATCAACAGCCAAAAGAAAAGTACCAACAGAAGAATACGTAAGCGTTCAGCGGTTCTGGGAAAATATCAAGACTTAAAGTAGTGTAATTCTTTGTGGGTGTGGATTTCATATTGATGTGAAAGGTTGAAATGTTACGAATAATTCAACTTGTCAACGAGTTTCTAACCTTGAGCCTCGCTTACTGGATAATATAGTGCCTTGTTGTTGTATATATATAGATGTAGTTGTAGTTGCAACCAATTCTGTGTACAGATTTGGTCCAGCTTTGTCAACTGCATGGACCCAGCTTCTTTACGCAGCGCTTCGAAGGAAACCGACATTGGTGCAAGGATGAGATGAAGCGCTGCGGATTTGAAATTGAAATGCTGCAACAGGTCGGCAGATGACATTGGTGCAACTGCATCAGAAGACATTGTTTATAAACATGTGTTCTGTGTATAAACTGTGTTTATAAACTACTTATCAAACCAAAAGACCAAACACAACAAAAAACAATGTTTTCCAAACTAGTCAAAACATATGTGAGGCTCAAACAAAAAAACAAATATTTGGAAACTATGCTCAATCCTAAAGGCAGAAAACCAAAAGAAAACAAAACAACAATGATTTGGAAATTATGCTCAATCCTAAAGGCAAACAACCCACCAAATCATTGTTTTTTTTGTTTTCTGCCTCTAGGATTGAGCATAGTGTCCAGATCATTGTTTTTTTGTGTTAATGGTATCCCCAGGGCGCCCCCTAATCAGCGAGCACCCATATATGCATGCATGCATGTATGTATGTATGTTTTTATGCACAACATTAATATCAAATTTAAATCAGTGTATTCGTCTCATTTCCACCACCATGCTTCCTGCTGTAGCCATCCCTCAATTCCATTGGTATCCAATAGTTACACGACGTTTCATCATCTGCAATGCTGGAGGCCTCCAATTGAATCTTCAGTCAAGTTTTTGGCCTCTTCTGGGAGTGGGCTTTAGACCCTTCTTTGCTACTTCGCAGCCAAGGCACGCAAAGTGTTGCGGAGCAGCTCAGTGTCTTTCACGGCATCTTCTACCTCAAAATCTGGCATAAATTCAGTCTGGGCAAACCCAAAACCACACCCTCATCCAGGATCCTTTCAATGATAAATAAATACATTGATATAATATATATATATATATATTTGTCCTTGTAGCAACGATTAGTCAAGACAGGTGATTGGTGGTTGACGCAGGGATTCATTTACGAGAAACTTGTGGATGTGTTGTGACTTGACCAAAGGCGAGGGGACCAAAATGGTGCAAATCCGGCAGCTCGGTATGGTTGATGTTGACCAATGGCAGCTCGGTATGACCAAGACCTGGGGCAAATTCTTCCCCTTTCAACCTCCGACTTCTGCACCAGCTGTCCGGCCACTTTCTGTCTGAGGGGCGATGTGGTGTGCGAGGTCTGCTTCCGGGTTCCCGCCATCTGCGGAAGAGCAGCGCTCCAACGCCAAGGGCACCTGAAGGAAGGCACCAACGAGTGTCCCAATAAAGATTGCTAGACTCAGATCATCAGTAGTCTTTCTATACAACAACAATCCAACATAACTGATGCAATTCATACAAAACCCGAATTGTGGAAAGTCCGAAAGGGGACATCTTGTGATCTCATTTGGTTTGCCACATGCCCAAAACAAAGGAAGACTGTGAAAAGCAAAGTGATGCAAATTTCAAGCACTATAGGTGCTTGGCACACAACTCGTTTTTCTTCCGAAAGGGCTACGCTCCGAATCTCCTGGCTTTGATTGTTGCGCAGTCTGCACTGCAATACGAGTATTATCAAGTCAAGCCACTGCTCCTGCATGCCCTCAGCAAGGTGGCTACCCCAAGACTTGACAATAGTCCATGCTATTCAATCTTCAACCATTTTGTTGCTGTCACACCGCTGCAGCGCAAACGCTGCAAAGCAACTCAGCAGCAATGATTGGAAGTATGCTCCTCAGCCAACATGTCGCACTCTGATACGATCCGGGTCTGCAACGCAGGTCTCAGTGCGGCCTGATGAGACCATCCCACAGTTCGCCGGGACCCAGGCTGAGTCATATCCGGCGCTGCTCCAGGATGTACGCATTGAATCGCTTTGCGATGTAATCTTCTTCGTCTTTCCAAGCCTCACTTCAACTTCAATGATGGTGTCACCATAGCAAGCTGCCTTGTTGCGGTCTGCGGAGAGGTAGACACCGCTTCCCAGCATGCCACCTGTGGAAGGGATGAAACCATCTGCAGCGATGGCTTGTGCATTCCGCGCAGAGGTTCCATGATACATGGTCATCTGTCTACCACCAAAGCTGCTCCAGTCACGCTTTGCGCTTGTGGAGGACTTTTTCTCTTTTTTGCCCGAGCCACCACAGCTGTTGCAAATCTTGCGCACCGTGGTTTGGCTACCAAGGCCGCCTCCCACCAAAGCGCCCGGAGGACCCAGAATCAAACCACCCAGCAATGCTCCACCAACGAACCCCGCAACTCCAGCTTGTTCTTCGACGGAGCCAGATCCTTGGCAAGTTGAGCAGGTGACTTTCGCCTGCTCATTTCCCATTGCCAAGACTAGGAGTCTCCACAAAAAGAAAGAGCCACTGGGTGTCCGGTCGAAAGGTCTTGAGCCCAGCCGCTATACGGAAAAATACGCTCATCATGAGCAAAACTGCAAATCTGATTTACAGAATCTCCTGACTGCATTGCTTACAAATGACTACTGTAGCACATGAGCGATGGAAAATATTTCCGTTGAGTTATCACATGGGCCTTCCTTACCTCGTTCTCCAATCTCGCATCGTTTTTGGGGTGTAATCTCGTTCTCCATTCCTGTATCTGTTTTGTGCAATGTATACCCATCTCGTTCTCGAGAGGTGTTCCTACCTCGTTTCACCAGCTAAACATGTCATTAACTAAACCATTTCAAACAAATGGCGAAATTGATGCCAATCTCGTTCTCGGGGTGTTCCTACCTCGTTTCGCTAACTAAATCTGACATTGGGCTATAGAAAAGGAACGCCCCTTCCACTAATCTTGACTACCGCAAATAAAAGCCGTTGCTCACATGTTGCTATAGGGGCTTGGAGCTGCGCGCCACCCCCAGACTGGATGTACAGGGCTGGAATTGTCGAACCCAGCAGCAATGGCCTCCAACCTAATAGCGATGGCCTCTAAACTACTAAACTGTTCATTTGCCTTTTGCGCCTCAAGCTCTCAGTTTCTCGATAGTCGATAGATGCTTCCAAGGGCGCGCGATGGTTGGGTGTGTTCTTGTTAGAGGCTTTCTTTCTGCCCGAAAAGAAGAACATAAGTGACATAAGAGCATTCTCTGCAGTCCACAGGCCGCAGAAAACGAAAGCTCTATTAGAGTCTATAGAGAAGCACTTTGCAAAATCACAGGATGCCAGACACCACCGTCGTGTCTAGCCATGTGGAACAAGAGTAATTACGCCTCCTGCTGCCCTTGATTTCTGCGATCTTACGTGACCTACAGCGAGTTTCCAGCCACCCTGCGGTTCTTTGCTACCACAGTCAGATGAGTTCTGGGCCGAACAACACTGCACCTACAAGTGAGCCAACCGCGCGTTGTACGCAACTGTTTCTTCTTGAGCAGCTTTTGTCACTAGTACGGGATTGGTTTCTGGTCGACAGATGTGATTCTTTGCTTCCCTCTTCTTCTGGATGCTGCGCATTTTTTTCCACCAAAGAGTCCGGTGCCAGTGCCACAAGTTTCAACATCTCTCTAAGCTGCTGTGGAAAATGACTTGACAAAAAAGGCCGGCGGAGGAGTAGATAGACAAGTATGCTGCAGCACTGCAGCCTTAACTGATCAAGGTTTAGTGTTCTGCAGGTCAATGGAAAAGCGGATCTCAAAAAGTTGTTCTAAGTGCCAAGTGTTAAATGTAGAAAGTGTATTTATAGCTTTATACCGTTGATCCCAACAGCCACCCTTTTGCATGGCCACCACCACATGCATTCGGTCAAAGCTCCCACTACCGGACGCACGACGCACGAAATATCACACAAATATGATCAAGATTGTGAGCATGCGGCTCTTCAGACTACTCCCTCGCTGCCCAGGCACATTTGCATCGGTGCTGCCAACACGAACCAGGCGCTCCTCTCTCGCTTGACGCTGGGCCTAGAGATGGCGGCCAAGTAAAAGAGATTTGATTTGAAGTACACAGCAAAACCTGCTTGCTCGCTAAGTAAACATCAAGCTGTGCTTGTTGTCTTGCAATTGACATTACTATCCTGTCATCGCCCTGTGATCCCATACAAAGATACTACCCTCTGATCAATTGCAATTCATCGGGGTTCAAGAGTCCTCTCGAAGGTCTTATGCACCAGTTTTATTGAGCGATAACTTGGAACACACATCATGAATCATTGTGTGTAAGTTAGGAACCTTGCCGCAACAATAAAATGAGCAACTTACAGCATGTCACTTCAACCTATAGCCAGTTTCTTCGTTTCGCCAGCGTCTTCGAATGCAAAGTCAAGTCCAGGTCTGACTCGCCAAACAACTGCAAGATTCCAATAGTCTGTCTGAAATTTGCCGCCTCAAAATGAGGGTTCCGATTAGTTCCAATGTTGTTTGAACATCTATTTGGGTGCGGCTTTAATTCGGAATGTATTTTAAACCTTGGGGCTCCCAGTTCGCTGCTTGAGGACATGCAATGTTGCGGGTGCAATGTGGCGTGGCTGACCTGTAAAACGAGCCATTTCAGCAACAGGCCTGACACTTATATAAGAGAAACAGCAGGCAAAGTACATTGGAAGAACTAGTGCAGATTTGTACCGGTTGCCTCCCCCTCAGAGCGAGCCAAAAAGGACAAGATACCAAAAGCATCTTAAAACCATGGCTGGCGACCTTGAGAAGTTCCAAGGGAGAGGCTGGTTGTTTTGGATGCCAGCCTAGCTCCAGCAAAGGAACCAAAAGAGAGCAACGATGAGTCAGCTTCAGAAGACGTGGTGAAAAAAATCGTTTATGTTGTTGGTGCAGTGCAGCGTGGTCGACATGGAAGAAAATCCCGTTTTTGTGGCAGGCGCTGCATAGTGGACGAACTAGTGCACATGGGGCTAGCGGCTTGGGGGGGAAGTGCGCAGCGCCTCCCGCAAAAGGAACAAATACAAAAAACAACTAAAGTATCTTGGAGTGATGCCCACCCTGAGAGGCGATGTGGAAGAAGGCAGGGCAGCTTGTATTGACAAAGCATCCTGACAACAGCAATAGAAGCAAAAATCAACAAAAGCGACAAAGGACAAAGCAACTAATGCCGAATGCCGCTGCCCCACAAATATAGACCACTTTCCAAGTGCATGGCGCAACACATTTTGTACTGAGAGCAGCAAAAAGCAACCGAAGCAACAAGAGCAACAAAGCAGGAACGGCAGAAAAGCAAAGGCAACAGAAGCAAAAACAGGCACCAAAAGCAAAACAGGCAAGAACAAAAACAACACAAAAAACAAAGAACAGCAGAAACAACAGCAACAAAAAACACAACTGAAAAAAACATAACTGACAAATACTGAACACGTGAACAAACTCCAAATCGATTTCCTATCAAAATCCATTAAGAAATGCTCATCCGAATCTATTTCCTATTACCCATTGTAGTTGGGAGGGCACAATCCGTTTTTGTATGTCACAGACATCCGAAACCCGAGTCATCAACTCCACTGAGTCAAACTTGCCGGGCGCACATTCAGCTTCACGCGTTCCGAGATCTCGCGCTCGATGCTCGATTCAATGCTGACCTGGTCGACTCGCATCACTTACAAAAGACCCTGCGGGATGGTCAAAGCTAGCATTTCTTAAAAATATACAGTAGGGACAGGCCCAACTTATGGGTTTCACAAGGTTTTCCCGTGAGTAACAAATGGCAGGGCCCAGGGACAGAGGGTGCAACAACATTTTCCACTTCCATAGCAGGGGGGCAGGGGGGTGGATGACAGATTGTTTTTGAGCCGTAGCCAAATCTTTGTTGAGATCGATTGAAATCGCGAAGAGAGCAAAATTACAGACTCGGTCTTCTTTCCCACCAAACTGAAACACAGAGGGTAACATCCACGCCGAAACAGCAAACTTCTTGAACACCACTCGCAGAAGCTGTGAACATCTCGACCTTTCTTCTCCCGGCCCGAAGCGCGTACTCGGAATACATGGGGCTCCGGGCTTCCCTTTCCACCCCCGAAATGCAAATTCGGGGCTCCAAATTAAAGGACCGGATAACCCCACATATGAATCTTTACGAATCTTAAGTTTCTAAAGCACAAAGCAGTCAGAGTCTCAATAGCTTCTACAACATGGCCTTGTCAGGAAGTGATATCAGATTCACACAACAGAGGGGTGGGAAAGAAGGTGTAAGAGAGTGATGTGCACGACAGATGTACGAAGTATTGTGCACACAGGTGTGCGCAGCCGCAACTAGCCAACAACGCCAGCGGTTGTCGCACGTCCGCACTATGGGGCATAATGTACTAAAGTTGTACTACCAAGTCGCCAGTTCTCATCTTCCAGCTCCCCAGCTACTCCGAGCACTACAGTTGTACTACAAAGTCGCCAGTGCTCATCTTCCAGCTCCACAGATACTCCGCGTACTAAAGTTGCACTAGAAACTCGCCAGTTCTCATCTTCCCACTCCCCAGCTACTCCGCGTACTAAAGTTGTACTACCGAGTCGCCAGTTCTCATCTTCCAGCTCCCCAGCTACTCCGCGTACTAAAGTTGTACTACAACATCGCCAGTTCTCAGCTTCCAGCTCCACAGATTGCTCCGCGCACTAAAGTTGTACTAGAAACTCGCCAGTTCTCAGTTTCCAGCTCCCCAGGTTGCTCCGCGTACTAAAGTTATACTACAAAGTCGCCAGTTCTCAGCTTCCAGCTCCACAGATTGCTCCGCGTACTAAAGTTGTACTACAAAGTCGCC